GCACATCCGAAAATTGCATGCAGGGACAACTCCATCATTCTTTCCTGTCTCGGTTAGAGAATTTAACTTAACGATCATGTTTGAAAATTTTCCTGATTCAACTAAGATCCTCGCTCACGTCGTGCACGTTTACGTCACCGTCTCAGTTACTCACCCAAACTTCCTCACGAAACTAAGAACAGAACCGTGACGCGACGTTATGGTACAACTTCCACTCAGCGCAGCTTCATTCAACGCTACCTCTTCCACGCCACCCCTAGAAGCGCCAGCCTCTCATTGAGTGACTTTGACTGCAATGCTTTGGTGGTGTAAAATGTAAACAGAGACTCTGAGGGACAAATAACATAGTGCACATATAAAAACACCTTTTTCAAATAAATAAAATATATGGTACTTTCCTGTTATCTCTGTACCTCATTCATAGACCACACTATACCATCCAGACAAATCTTTTGGACAAATTCATAAACACAACAGATGTGAATTTTATTTCTTTGCATTCTGCTGAAAATGATTTTGGGAGGCGGTTAGGTAAAATTAGGTTAGGTCAGGTTATGTTAATTAAAAGATATTTGGGAGGTGGTTAGGTAAAGTTAGGTTAGGTCAGGTTATGTTAATTAAAGATATTTGATATTTAGGAGGCAGTTAGGTAAAGTTAGGTTAGGTCAGGTTATGTTAATTGAAATATATTTGTAACTAACATAACCTGACCTAACCAAACTTTACCTAACCACCTCCCAAAATCAGTTTCAGCAGAATGCAGAAAATAAAATTCACAGTTTCTGGTGGGTTCTTGTGATTATGAACTTGTCCTGAAGATTTGTCAAGGTCAGGTTATGTTAATTGAAATATATTTGTAACTAACATAACCTGACCTAACCAAACTTTACCTAACCACCTCCCAAAATCAGTTTCAGCAGAATGCAGAAAATAAAATTCACAGTTTCTGGTAGGTTCTTGTGATTATGAACTTGTCCTGAAGATTTGTCTGGATGGTAGTGCAGTCTAGGAATGAGGTACAGAGATAACAGGAAAGTACTGTATTGAATATTATGTTATCTTCCTACTCCAACACAATTCTTCAACATGTAATTCGTATCTGCAAGCATGCGCAGTTTATGAAGTCACTCATTTTTGGCGTTGAGGCATGGAGTGCGGGAACAGCCCTCTGGAGGGGCAGCGTGGAAGTGAGTTAGTGGTCTGCTTGGAAATTCTAGGATCCCTGGATGCATCCTGATGCTCAACAAGGACAGGAGATGGTATCCCAACAAATTGAAAAAACTCAAGAGACAGTGTTTGTGAATGTTGGTGTTGTGGAAGTGTTCATATGAAATAATTCCACTTCTCATTGGTGGTCAAAATCCAAGGTGGGTCATGCTAGTGTATGAGGTCTTTGGCCTTTTATTGTTGCTCCCTGTTGTTTCTCCACCATTGGTAACCCTTGTTTTTGTCTTTCAAAACCCCTGTTACAATTTGAAATTACACTTTGTGCCTTTCTGGGATTCACCTGAATATGAAATGCTCAAAGTTGGATCTGTGCAGACTCTGTAACCTATGACATTGGCATGAAACTGAAAGCTAAAAACGGAACCGATATTGAAGTCAATCATGTTCATCTTCCAAGAAGCAGGTGGGAATGAATTTCCTTCTGTTAATGTGAATTATAATTTCTTTTGTCATGCTGTTATGACACTTGTACATATAAAATGATTCTACTTCTCATCAGTGGTTGGAATCCTAGGTGGGTCACATTTGTGTATGAGGTCTTTGGCCTTTTATTGTTGCTCCCCATTGTTTCTCTGCCCTCCTCGGTAACCCATGATTTTGTACACAATTTTAGTTGCAATAAGAGCGACACCTACATGACAAATTCTTAAATATGACATCCAGTGTTCCTGCATCTGCCGTGCCTGTCCATACGCTCAACGTCGAAAAGGTGAGGCACAGTCGAAATGCAACGCGGGTTTCAGAATTCCGTGATTCGCGCTGAGGTGACCGTTACACTTGTGAGATCAATGTGAACTGCTTTCGGACGTCGTAGTATGTGTTATGTATCCCATGGGAGTTTGTAAATCAATGCTTACCTCATATTGCAGGATAACGTGCTCCTCTTCATGTGTCTCACTTCATCCCCGACTTGTTTTCGTGATGACTTTTCCCTTCCACTAAAATTGCAGTACCTTTCAAATACCTAAGAATGAATGAATACCGATCGAGATGACAAGTTGAATCAATGAAGACGCAGATCATGGGGGGCCCCAATATGAAGAATTTCGAACGCAAGTTCGGCATTCTTCGTCGTCGGCTGGACGACATGGGGTACCGTCAGATGCTCCCTATGGAAGCGGTTCCCTTGGTTGAACGGTTGCTCAATGATTTCATGCAAACCACGGAGAGTTACATGCGCTGTAAAGACAAAGCTGACGAGAATGAGAAAACCAAATGCATGTTGGAGGCTAGTGTCGAACCTTACCGAGAAGAAAACGGTAAACTTTCGCAAGAGAATGCCCGTCTTCACAAGCGTATGTTGAGACTGGAAGAGAAACATCACGAAGAGGAACTAGGTAAGGTTTTAGATCAGCATGTCTCCAGATCTGGTGAGATGTCTTTTGGTTTTAGATGCTAAATTGGAGTTGCGGAAGCTGCGAAAACGCTTTGATGAGATGAGATTCATGGTGGAGAGCTACGAAAGTCACATGAGGGATATGGAAGCAACTGAGCGAGGTTTACGCGAGGAAATATCAAAGTACACTTCAAGTGAGAGTTTTGGCTTTGCCAATTACGTGTTTGCCTGTATTCAATTTGTAAATTAATTTCCAGAAAAGGCCAGATTATCAGACATGCAAAATATTGATCTGCCAATAACTTTGGAACCTCAGCCCATCAAGGAGCGTCGAGAACCTGTGGTACAGGATCCTTATCTCGTGGATTTGGTGAAGGTTTATGATGCGCGAATAGCGCAGCTAGAATCTCGCATTACTGAAGATGAAGCTTTGCGTAAAAAGCTTGAGACGGAGTTGGAATCAGCGAAGTGCAAAGTAGCTGCCCGAGAGAAGGAAATAGATCGTCTTGAAGAGATCTTACGCCATGGCATCAACTTCGATGATATGTCTGCGAAGGCAAGTGAAAAGGAGAAGAACCTCATGGCTCGTCAAATGTCCTTACAGGTGGAATACCTCGAAAAAACAGTGATCGACTTGGAGAAACGACTCGAAGGTTAGTTGCTTCTGATATGTTTTGAGTCTTCTCTTCGGAAAGGAAGCAAAATCAAACAGAGCAATGTTGCTTTCATTCATGAAGTCGTAAAAGGCAGTACTTCGTGCGTGCTTTGGAACTACAGTATAGGCATTCAATTTTCAGTAGATTCTCAATTCTCGTGAACAGGCATCTATTTATCGTGAAGATTTGCGATTATCGTCGAGAAACTTTTTATCCGTACTCGAAGTTCACAGCAATCGATAAATGCACTGCATGGTTTCCCGGAGATCATCTGTGTGTGGGAGATTTTTTTCTTCAAGTTTTAAGCGCTGTCGCGTCCCCAACACCGCGAATTTTCAGCATCCGGCCCAGAAACTCGATTTCTTCTGAGTGCAGAGAGCTTCGCCAAAAACCTGTTCGGTGACATTCACTGAGCCTCATCCAAGGGCACCAAAGTGGAAATCACTTCTTAGATTTTGCCTGACTTGGCCAATCATGAGCCAGGAAAAAATCACTTGATTTCTTCCTTACCCATGACAAGCACTTCAGAGCTGATTGTTTGGCAGACATGCTCAAAATTTGTGGTGACAATGCGTTATTTGCACAGTTTCATGAGGGTTGCAGTGCTTTATCAATGTTGAAGCGATAGGCTTAGACCTTGGAGGCTTGTTCACGCGATGTGCTCTTTACCACCGTCTGTGATGCGCATTTTCGAAGCCGACATCGCGTGGGATATTGTGCAAGGACTTCAACAGCGTACTAGCGGCAGGTTTTGCAGTGTGTCAGGAAAATCGATTATTGGGTGATTCGTTTCCCTGACTACGGCGCTGTTCTTGTTCTTCATTTGCTGTCCCGCATCAGTGGTCAAGTCCTTCAATGCTTCAGGAGGGGTTTCGGAACATGTCGCGTCCTTCGTGTTCCCTCATACTCGGCTGATGGTGTGCGATGAGTTAGTGTGAAATTTCAGTCGAACTTCAAGGGACCAGCTAAAATTCGGGTTTGAGGTACAGTATCAGCATTCCTGTTGGGGGAAAAAGAGGAAATTGTAACTAGGTGATATTCTGGACCTTAGATTGTTTTGTTATGAGTTGATGGAGTACTGAACTTGGAGGCAAGGGTTTATCTAATAAGTCTTTCAATTCCTTCCTGAACACATCGTTGATTTCTTTTCTTCCCGATGTCAATGAAAAAATAGCCGAAGGCTTCGAAATGATTCGACTTGTGAGTGGGAAAGCCCCTGAGTTGAGCAGGGTTTTAATGCATTGTTCCTGGGACTTGTAACTAGTCCGGCATCGGAAGATGTTCGAGTTATCAAGGTTCATCTGTAGTTTGAGAGGAATCTGAAATTTTCAGATGTGATTTCGCCATGCAGCGGCTTTTATTTTTGTAGTGTGTCATGGAACTCTTAAATTTAGCTTCGATTCGCCTTATACCTTGGTGCGATAGAAAATGCTGCGACACTTCCGAATGGCACGTTTGTGTCTTTTTCATTCCATTAGTGTATCCAGTGCGTCTTCGAATCGAATATGTCGAAGAAGGAAAATTTGTTGTGCTTTTTTGCTGTATTAGGATTTTGCTCGGGTTTCCGAAAGTTTTCGTTGGTGAGAGCTTTTTTCCAGCAGTGTGCTCCCTTTAAAAAGTTTCAGAGGCATAGCGACCGTCTTCATCTGATATCTTGGTGGTCTTGTGAAAGTTGTGACCAGTTTTTTCGGAATTTATCGCAAGGAACTAAAGTACGACTCCAATCAACGAAAAATGTTGGCATGGCTGGCTTTTCCCTTAGCACTTGAAGCCGCGGAACGTTTCAAAAATCTTTTCAAAACTCGTAAAAAATTACTTTTCGATTTTATTCTTTGATATGCTTGATTCAACTGCGTAATGCTCGTCGTATGTATTGCATCTGAAAGATGAATGCTGTCACTTGAGAGGAAATTTTTCGAGTTTTTAAGTCGGCAGTCGAACTGGTTTCTGGACACCACAGCTTACGAAGGTGATAGGCGTATACTGTACTCAACGTTCTTGTGTTCAAGTGTTTTGTCTCTTTTAGATGAGAACGAATATTTTCAGGAACAATGCGAAGCTTGATTTGAGGTTCAGTAATTTGGATCTAATTAAATATTCGTTGTAAGAAATCCATTCCAAGTCTTCGGAGCTATCCGA